TCTATCTATCTATCTATCTATCTATCTATCTATCTATCTATCTATCTATCTGTTTTCCAAATAATTGCCTCTTCTTAACTGCTTGTGGAACTATAGGCAAGTCCTTGATTTACAACAGTTCATTTAGTGACCATTCAAAGTTACAACAACACTGAAAAAAGTGACATGATCATTTTCAAACTTATGATCTTTTTCACACTTCTGACCTTTGTAGCATCCCCATGATCATGTGATTAAAATTCAGGTGCTTGGCAACTGACTCATACTTATGACCATTGCTGTGTCCTAAAGTAATGTGATCACCTTTTGCAACTTTTTGACAAGCAAAATTAATGGGGAAGCCAGATTCCCTTAACAACTGTGGCTTATCAACTGAGGTGATTCACTTAACAACTGTGGCAAGAAAGGTTTTAAAATGAGGCAAAACTCACTCAACAAATATCTCACTCAACAACAGAAATTTTGAGCTCAGTTGTGGTCATAAGTTGAGGACTGTATTTATTTTCAAGACTACCATCTTTTATCTGAGCAGTATGGTCACCTGTCATCTTAATTCCTTTGTCTTTCAAATATTATATTCTTCTGTCAGTTTTGAATGAACATTTCTTTCTTTCACTTCTATCCCTGTTAGGTTACAGGTAAATATTTTTAGTAGTTTGTAATTCTTTTATCATTGTATTGGGGGTCTCTTCTATAAGATGTAAATGGTTTTGAAAGTGAATGAAGCTGCTTTAAACCATATCTAACTTCAGGCTGGATTCAGCAAGTTCAAGTACTGGCACTAGTGATACCTATGGTGATCGACCCTCAGCCCGCAGCAGTGCCTATACCAGAAGAGCTGCTCTCAGCAACAGAACAGAAGATGATAGTAGCAAGGATTATAAAAAGGTAGGCCATTGCTGAATTTTTTCTTTTCTTTTTCTTTAATTATTTCACTAGCCACATGCCAAAGGGATCAGGTACCATGGGAGGCAGGTGATAAAGAGATTTAAATAGAGAATCAGAGTTTTAAGAGCCTATTTTCCTCTTAACCTTTTCCAAAGCAAAATACAATATACACTGCTCACAAAAAATAAAGGGAACACAAAAATAAGACATCCTAGATCTGAATGAATGAAATATTCTCATTAAATACTTTGTTCATTACATAGTTGAATGTGCTGACAACAAAATCACACAAAAATTATCAATGGAAATCAAATTTAGCAAACCATGGAGGTCTGGATTTGGAGTTAGTTAGACTCAAAATTAAAGTGGAAAAAAACACTACAGGCTGATCCAACTTTGATGTAATGTCCTTAAAACAAGTCAAAATGAAGCTCAGTAGTGTGTGTGGCCTCCACGTGCCTGTATGACCTCCCTACAATGCCTGGGCATGCTCCTGATGTGGCGGATGGTCTCCTGAGGGATCTCCTCCCATACCTGGACTAAAGCATCCCCCAACTCCTGGACAGTCTGTGATGGAACGTGGTGTTGGTGGATGGAACAAGACATGATGTCCCAGATGTGCTCAATTGGATTCAGGTCTGGGGAACGGGCAGGCCAGTCCATAGCATCAATGCCTTCGTCTTGCAGGAACTGCTGACACACTCCAGACACATGACGTCTAGCATTGTCTTGCATTAGGAGGAACCCAGGGCCAACCGCACCAGCGTATGGTCTCGCAAGGGGTCTGAGGATCTCATCTCGGTACCTAATGGCAGTCAGGCTACCTCTGGCGAGCACATGGAGGGATGTGCAGCCCCCTAAAGAAATGCCACCCCACACCATTACTGACCCACTGCCAAACCGGTTGTGCTGGAGGATGTTGCAGGCAGCAGAACGGTCTCCACGGCGTCTCCAGACCCTGTCACGTCTGTCACATGTGCTCAGTGTGAACCTGCTTTCATCTGTGAAGAGCACAGGGCGCCAGTGGCAAATTTGCCAATCTTGGTGTTCTCTGGCAAATGCCAAACATCCTGCATGGTGTTGGGCTATAAGCACAACCCCCACCTGTGGATGTTAGGCCCTCATACCACCCTCATGGAGTCTGTTTCTGACCGTTTGAGCAGCCACATGCACATTTGTAGCCCGCTGGAGGTCATTTTGCAGGGCTCTGGCAGTGCTCCTCCTGTCCCTTCTTGCACAAAGGTGGAGGTAGCGGTCCTGATGCTGGGTTGTTGCCCTCCTAAGGCCTTCTCCGTGTCTCCTGATGTACTGGCCTGTCTCCTGGTAGCGCCTCCATGCTCTGGACACTACACTGACAGACACAGCAAACCTTCTTGCCACAGCTTGCATTGATGTGCCATCCTGGATGAGCTGTACTACCTGAGCCACTTGTGTGGGTTGTAGACTCCGTCTCATGCTACCACTAGAGTGAAAGCACCGCCAGCATTCAAAAGTGACCAAACCATCAGCCAGAAAGCATAGGAACTGAGAAGTGGTCTGTGGTCACCACCTGCAGAACCACTCCTTTATTGGGGATGTCTTGCTAACTGCCTATGCTTTCCACCTGTTGTCTATTCCATTTGCACAACAGCATGTGAAATTGTCAATCAGTGTTGCTACCTAAGTGGACAGTTTGATTTCACAGAAGTGTGATTGACTTGGAGTTACATTGTGTTGTTTAAGTGTTCCCTTTATTTTTTTGAGCAGTGTATTTAGCTTATCCGCTTGGAGGTCTTTGGGAATTGTGAAAAGGATGTTTGCAAGCCATATCCAGCTCCCATGTTGAGCCCTTCTTTAAAACCCACTGTTTTCTTTTTATCAGTTAATACAAAGCAGTTTCAAATGTAGCTGGAAATCATTGGAGAAGAAGCCAATGAAGTAATACAGATTTAAAGCCCCAATAAAAGACAAAAATAGAAATATATCAAGAAAACTATGTTGAAATCCAGCTTCAAACAAGCTTAATGAAGTGTTATACAAATAACTGTATTTGCATTCCTATGTTTGTCTTTTCCATGGAATTGTTGACTTTGATTCAGTTCCCTTTGTATGGAATAAGGAAACATTAGTCTAAAATTTGAATATAACATGTAATTTTTTTAAAGAAGTTTCCAAGTTTGAGCATATATTTGAGCATGTATTTAGTTTACTTGGAGGATCAATAGCCAAAATGGTATATGAAATAATGTGCAAATAATCACTTTAAACTGAATTTTATCTGGTAACATTTAAAGTGTACTATGAAAAGTACTTTTAAGCCATGCTTTCATTCCACATGAACTAAAAGGATGTGCCTGGAGTGATGCCAGGTTCTCATGAAATTATGCAGTTAGCTGATGTTGGCTGAAAATTAATTGAGCTGCAGTAAAACTTGCTGTTCTAAAGGATCTGAAATAGCAAGTCTTGTAAATCATCATTCTCCAGTATGTCACCACCGATTGTTCAGTAGATGGAATATTATCCAATATTGAGGTATAATTCCACTTTTGTTTTTGTTTTTTCTGTTTAGCTCTATGAGAGTGCCCTGTCTGAAAATCAGAAACTGAAATCTAAACTGCAAGATGCCCAGTCAGAACTCACAGATGTTAAGTCAAAAATGGACAAACTATCTCAGGTGAAGAAACTGAGGGAAATCAAGGATGTACTGGGGAAAAAAAAGGTTTATTATTGTTGATAAGAGAATTAATAGTAGCTGAAAAAACACAGAGTGCAATAATCTATGTATGCTCTGGATTTCTAATAAATACTTGATTGTTGTTTTAAACAATACTGTAATAATTATTACTTTCTAATGAAGTGTTTTGTTTGTTTTAAATAGCAGAAACAGGAGAAAACTTCAGATCGTTCAAGTATGCTTGAGATGGAAAAAAGGGTATGTCTTTATGGGTTGTCAGAATCTACTTGGATTGTATAAATATTTTGAAAACCAAACAGCAAAACAGAAAGATTATTCTTTTCCTAGCAAAAGATTCCAAAAACGTCCAACTATTTTTGGATAATATCTGGCTGCTGTAGTTATTTATTGAATTCTCCAAATTTTCTCTTAAGCTATTTGGCTCCTCTCTGTAAACTGTCTGGAAATGAAGACAGCTTAAGAAATTGGTTTCTGGATTTCAGTCCTTTGTTCTATGTTGACAACATGGTGTTCTGTCCCATTTTATGGAAGCATCTGCTACCAACTCATCCTTCTATTCTCCCTTCCTATATGGTGTGACCAATAGTGGAGAAGGAAAGGAGGGACCATTTTTCCATTCTTGCCGCTTGACTAGAAGGGGAAACTGGTAGAGCCCTAATAAATTTCACCTTGTCCAGAAAAGGTGGTGAAGGGAAAATCTATCATTTCTTTAGCTAATTGGTGAACTTGTAAAAAAAAAAAGTTTCAGCTTTTCACTGATACACCAGTTAAATTGTTAAAGAAAAGGTCCAGAGTATCACCAGTCGAGCAACCTGACTCATTCTTTTCTTTGGCTCCTTTTCTACCCTTATTCATAATTGCCAAGGATTTAGACATAAATCCTAAAGCAGATGAATAGAGTAGAACTAAGGAAAAGATCAGGTAGAATAAAATTAAGGGTGGAAAAAATCTCAGGTTCCTATCAGTGGTGAATTCATTTTTTTTTTACTACTGGTTCTGTGGGCGTGTCTTGTTGGGTGTGGCAGGGGAAGGAGACTGTAAAATTTCCAGTCAGAGGTGGTATTTATTGGTTCTCCAAACTACTCAAAATTTCCACTACCAGTTCTCCAGAACTGATCAGAACCTGCTGAATACCACCTCTGGTTCCTACCTTCTGGGGAGGGGGGTAGGTAGCCCAGGGCCTGCCTCAGACACAGTAGCTAATTGGAATGGAGATGATTGTGTGCAATGAAGTGAAATTCAACAAATGAGTTTGACAATACTGCTTATAGCAACAAAAGATGCAGTATGCTACTTGTAATCGAATAGATGGTACGAAGGCTGGATATTGCTTTCCTAATCGGTTTGGGGTGGTGAAGAATAGGGCCTGCCCACAAAAAATATTAGTCGACACTTATGCTTAGACAATAAGCTCTCAGGCTAGCTTACCAATATTTTTATTAACTTTAAAGCACTTTATTTTTTAAAGAGTTCATTAAAACTGCCTGATATTCCAATTACTTGAAAGGATTACTTTTGAGGATAATAGTTTGAAAAAACTTTTTCAACATACAGGTAGTCCTCATTTAACAACTATTTAACAACAGCTCTGAAAATTTCAGTTATCACCTGAATTAGAAAATTACAACCATCACTCCCTTCCCAGTTACATGATCACAATTTGACTATTTGGCATTTACAACCAATTGCAGTATCCCATGGACAGGTGATCACAATTTCTGATATATATTTTTTTGCCAATTTTTGTTGCTTAAGCTGGATTTGCATCCTGGTGACTCGACTTATGACCAGAATTACTTGTCCTAATTGTGGTCGTAAATCAAGAACTATCTGTTGTTCAGATCAACAGTTAAACATATGCTTAATATATGTTACATAATCATTATCAAGCCTAATCAGTAGCAAAGTTCTGTTTCTTCCAAGGCCTGTCAGTACACAAGACTTTTAATAGTCTTGTAGTGTGCCTAATATCCAATCTTACCAAAATGACATGAAAAACTCTATGGGCCATAAATTAATTCTATCCACCTTTCTTTTTTGCTGCTATTCTCTTAAAAAAAAAGATGGATGTTGGTTCTTGGGTCTATCACTGGTTTTGGTATTGTTTATTATGGAATGATATCTCCAGTGCATAGCTCCCATTATTTAAATAAAATATCTAGTTGTTTGGGGCAAGAATTTGGCCCTTTGCAATGTTGTTTTTGTTAATCTAAGTACAAAAAACTATCTGTCAGTGAGGTGTGGAAATTTGATTTGGTCTAAGTGTGCAGTTATGTGAAGATACTAATAGAATCAAAAATTGAAAGAATACAGCTACTGTGTCTGTTCAAAGTTGGGGTTGAAAGAAACAAGAAAGGATAATGGGAATAAGAGTTAAGAAAGGGGTATTATATGGTACAGAGGATTTTTGCCTTGGAGTAGGACTATATTGTGTTTGAAAATCCTTAAGCCTATGAGATTTCACTTTTTCAAATGAAAGATGATCACTAGGAAAATATTTCCTGAACAGGAAAAACGGGCCCTTGAACGGAAGCTTTCTGAAATGGAAGAAGAGATGAAGGTATGAAAATGGATCATTTATTTGCCATCTTCTAAATCCAGCAGCATCTTTTAAATTGCCATGTAGGAATAGTATTAATCATAATTAAAATCTTATTCAAATCTTCTAACTAAATTCACTCATTCAAAATAGCAGTGCTAGCTAACTGGTATCCTTAAGCTTTTCTGGTTGAGTTGAAAGCATTTTCTAATATTTTTCTTCCAAATTTTGGTGCAATCTATTCTGCAGCATTTTTATCCAAACATCGTTATCTGTGCCTATATTGTCTTTAAACTTGGCTACTGAGGATTTCCTTCCAATGCTTTCTATTACTGGCCTACAGATTCAACTGAATGTTAATTAAAAGCTGAAAGAGTATTTTACTTGTAAAAGATTTTCTTGTAATTTTGTATTTTACTCTTTCTTATTACATTCCTTGCTCAAATGCCTTGCCTTTGGATATACCTGAATTCTTATGATTTATAAGAATGAAGCTTTTATTCCTATTGATTGATTCTTTTAATATGAAGCACTGGGAAGAAGATCAGTTCATATTATCAAAATTGCTTTCCATATTCTAGTGGAAAAGTGTTCCCTGGGAAGGCAGTAGTTCTGCTACTTGTAGAGTTATAAATATGTATACATTTAAGAAATAAATACATAAATAAACAAGAAGCTGTTTCCCAAAACCAACAGTAGATGAAAGATTAAAATAAGCCTTAAATATAACTGTTTTAAGCATATGTATTCAAAAGAGTCCTAAGAATTGCAGCTTTAAGGCAAGACTGTAGTGGTGTTACATGGTAAAAGAAAACTTTTTTTCAATTTTAATTCCATTAAATACGAACAATCATTTTTGTGTATTTTGAAATATAGAAAAGTTACTAAATAATGTTTTGTGGTTTCTGCACCTATATTAATGTTTCCCAATCCTGGCAATTTTCGGAAGTATGACCTTCCACTCCCAGTATTCTTAACAATGGCCATGCTGACAGGCAAACTCTGGGTACTAAAGGCCACACATCAGAAAATTGCTACTACACTTGGGAAACATCGACTTTGATTATTATATGATCTTACATACATATAAACATGTGTGTATATGTGTATGAACGTTTATTGTTACTATGAATCTAAAGATACCCAGGGTCAGTATCCACAATTATTCATATGTAAATTTGGTATATGGGAATTATGTATCTTGAACTTTTTAACCTAGTATCAGTATATTAAAACTTACAGTCTCAAAGGTTTTGACACTTAACAGAGTCAATATCCAACATTTCTTTGCAAGAAATTCATTGTATCTTCCGAAATTATTGCTAATGATACATAGTTGAATTTCCTTTGCTACATGCATTTTCTCTATCCTTAATTACTGAATAAATTAAATGAACAATTGGTAATTATGTAAGAAAGTCATGAATACTTACTTTCAATGAAGCATAGTTTCAGAGTAAGGATACCTAGTACCTCAGATTTTATGTGAAATTGAGTATCTATGGGGATTCAGAGTTGGGAGGCTTCAGAATTTGTTTTGTCACTTTTTAAAACTCAATGTCAACCAACCTCACCATAATTATAAAATGCTAAAGTATACATTTAAATATTTGAAAAGTTCATAATCCACCTTTCAAGACAATTTTTCCCAAGGTAGCTTACAAAACTTTAAAAACAAATCTAGAATTTAAACTGAAAATATACACACTGAAACTAAAAGCATCGTTAAAAGTATAACTATAAAATAGTAGAAAGAACATAATTTATAAAGTTCTATTGCAGCAAAAAGTGTTAAAATGTTATAATAAAGTAGCAGCCCTATGACCTCACTTGAGGGACTTTTCATAAAAATCCTGTTGCAAAACTTCCCACTTAGTATAAAGACAGTATCTTAAGCAAAGTCTCAGATTTAATCATATGAATGTAAAAGCAGGCTTCTTTCCAATATATCATCTCATGTTCTGTTGGTTTTTCTTCAGCTCAAGGCAGTGTATGTACGAATCTTGTTTGTTTGTCCTTACAGTATAACCTATCAGGCAGAAAGAGTTAAGAAAAAGCCATTATGTCATAATGGAAATTTGGTCTTCCCAGTCATAGGGCTGCACTTTAGTAAGTACCTCCCATAGGTTCTTTACAGTTAAAATATGTATCTTTGAATTGGGACCAGAAACAAACTGAGAGATATTGAAGATGTTTTAATAATATTGTGATAAATAAAAGGAATAGCACTTAGACTTATATACCGCTTTACAGTACTTTACAGCCTTCCCTAAGCAGTTTACAGAGTCAGCATATTTCCCCCAACAATCTAGGTCCTTATTTTACCGACCTCAGAGGATGGAAGGCTGAGTCAACCTTGAGCCTGGTGAGATTTGAACAGCCAATCTGCTGGCAGCTGGCAGTCAGCAGAAGTAGCCTACAGTACTATACTACCTTTCCACCTGTTTTCCAGCCAGTAGCTGTTGACAGAGGTGCACTTGATCTATCACCCTCTCTCTTGTGTATGGGGAAAGTATCAAGGGATTTTATTTAAATAATGGAGATGCCAGTCTATCGCCCTCTCTCTTGTGTATGGGAAAAGTATCAAGAGATTTTATTTAAATACTGGAGATGCCAGTCCTGGCTCTTCTCAACTATTTTCTGAGACTTTGGCATACACTGAGGATTTTTTTCTTTAATTAGCCTGGAGGTTTCTATAAATAATCTTAAGAGGTTCAATCTTCATGAACCCTAGCTTTTGGAAATGTAGGAATCTTACACACAATATCTTTATATAGCAACTTTTCTCAATCTTTATACTCTGGAAATGGCCATGTTAAAACAAGTTGTTTTATAATGGAGCCAGCTGCTCAAAAAACTACAGAAGCACATCAATATTTTCTTTTCAAAGATCACTCAAACTTTTAGATCAACCAAAACAAAACAATTCTGCATCCATTTCCTCCTCCAAAGGGGCTATTAAAAAGGTAAAGGTAAGGGTATCCCCATGGGTTTTACCTCACAAGTTGTGATCGACTTTATGGGGGCAGTGCTCATCTATGTTTCTTAAACCAAAGAGCCAATGTTGTCTGCAATCGTTTAGCCAGCTTGACATCATGCTGCTGCACAAAGCATACAGTTAAAGATGGAACACTGTTCTTTCTTCCCACATGCTCATATGCAGCACCTATTCATCTACTTGCGTTTGCATGCTTTTGACTGCTAGGTTCGTGACAAGTGACAGGAGCTCGCTCCATCTCACAGCACTCAAGTCTCAAACTACCGAGCTGTAGACCTGATCTCAAAGGGGAAATTATTCCTGCATAATTCATTTTCCCTCCCTCTCTCTCTTTCTCTCATCTTCACCCCTCGTCTTGAAATATATCTATTCCATGTCACAATTTGGGAAAAAGTCTCTTGATATTAGTGGATTCATTGATAGGATATTGTCATGCTTCTGGTTTTCTTGTTTCTTTATTGGGCTTTCAGTTCTTTTCAGACTTAACAAACAAAAAGCTACTTAGTGCTTGAGTGATTGGAGCAGAAATTGTCCTCTGAAGTAGCTCCTCTTGCTTGATACCCCTCTCTCCAAACACCTGCTCTGAAGAACTGTCATTCTCCTGTTATTGCAATTTCTGATTGCTAAAGTGAGAGATACATTATGCTGCCCTAAGCGACCTGATAAAACTGATTTTACAGGATAACACTGCTTGCCTGCACAATAGGTTCTTTTGTACCTTTGTTTTGTTTGTCTCCTGGTGCTTATTTTCCTATTATATAAGAGGGAATTACAGATTTGCTTGGCTCTTAAAATATTTTTATTTCAAGAATAAGAATTCCTGAGCCCCTAAAAACATGATAGAGGGGAAAGCAATTTCCTGACTTACTGGGGATAGTTCCAGTTGGAGAATAGCCTTTAAAGGAAACAAACTGATTTTACTGTATGGTTATTTTTTTGAAGCTGAGCTCCATTTAAATTTAACTCTGTAAGAAAAGACATTTCGGTAGCTCACATTACAATCCAGCTGCAAGAGAAGGGCTGCATCACCTAGCTTGATATGCATCATTCCACATGATTACACGTATTTATAGATGAACTATTAAAGAACTGAAATGGGAATGCATTTTGATCTATTGTTAATAATGTGCAATATTAGAAGAAATATTAGAATGCAACTATAGTTACATTGTGCCTTCCTATTATGATGGTATAACTAACAAATGCTTTTTTCTTTAAAAAAAGACTTTTAAAATAACCTACTGTAAATGTGGACATTCCATCTCTTATTAATGTGTGATGTCTATAGCTGAGAATCTATATTGGAGAGTTTTAAAGCACATGACTTGTATGTGTTAAGTTATGAAAGCCCCTGATGGCCTTATTCATGAGTTATTTGTTGAGGTAACTTTTTCAACAAATAGAGTATCCATTTGTGGACTCGCACTGTGTGTTTGTGTGTGTGTGTGTGTGTGTGTGTGAGAGAGAGAGAGAGAGAGAGAGAGAGAGAGAGAGAGAATGAGAATAATGGAGACCATTTTCATCACGTCTGCATCTTTTGAATGGCATCCATTTTTGAATCATATGCTGTATCTGTCTGCAGCTTCTTTTTATACTAGAGTCACCTTGACTTAATATAGCAAATATACCTACATTTTATCTCAGTCTTGTCAATGTTGTTATTTTATTTAGGCTTATTAACTTTTCAAAAAGCTCACTTTTGAATCACATTCCTATTCTGTTGTATAGCAACTTTTTTTTCTTACTGTCTGCAGCTCACTTACAAAGAGACATAAAAAACTAAACTGGTATCTAATTCAAGCAGTGTCATAAAATTCTTAAGGCTGTTTGTTGCCAATACAGCATAATAGGAAAAAGATTTTTGGCTTACTGAACTACATATATTGTGATTTTAATGGCTTGTGCTTCAATGTTTTACATCAGAATAGATTAAGACTGTTCTAATTTGTGCAAACCACAGTTTCAAAGGAATGTTCTGAAACATTCAGAGGTAGTGCAGGGTGCTTTCAAAACTCAGAGTAGGAGAGAGTTAATTTAGTTTCTTAGCTATTCAAAACCTCTCATACAGTTCCTCCTCTAATACAAAGTTGAAAGATACGTCTGATAGATAAAAAGGGCTGCCAGTACATATAAAACATATTTTTTTAAGACTGCTATCATTCAGTACATATCTATCAAAATAAAGGTGAGCTAAAATTGTGGTGGGGAGTAGGAGTTAACAAACAAAAATCCCATGCCCTGCCCTCTTTCTCAGGATTGCAAACTCCAGCTAAAACCAGTTTTATCCCCTCTAATTTCAGTAGATTTGAGAGCATGGCAGATTTGTATACTGCCGTCACACAACAGGAAAATGAATCTCTCTCCCTCACATACACATTGCAGTAATTACATGTGAATTGCTGTGATGGTATGTGGAAAAGACATTGGGAGATTAGGCTAAGAGATGGTGCCAAGGGAATGGTCAGATAAGAGACAGCAGGTGAATAGTGGGTGGGGCAAGAGGCAGGTTCTTTCAGACTTGCAATTAGTTCATCTGGTTGTGATTCCCATCTGCTCTGCTCTGCAAAGCCAACATCAATCTTGCAAGACTGAAAGTACAATTCCTCCTCCCTCCCCCCATCTCCATTACAGCCTAAGAAGAGTCTCTTCTGAGCCTCTTGCCTCTCCCACCATCCAGCTGTGGGCTAGGCTATCTCTTATCTGATCATATCCTTGGCAGAATTTATATTCCTGGTTAGAACAGAGAGTGCTTTAAAAATAAAAGAGTAAGAAGCAAAAACCTTCAGATGCATTTTTGCTGAGCATGAGTGGTTTTGAAGATCAGCCTAAATCATGGCTGACTGGGGAATTCTAGGAGTATGAAATAAAGTGGCTATATATATGGAGCAAGGTTTAGTTAATGTATTTGAAATTGCTGAAATAATAAAGAGGAGGAGCATGTAATTGAATATAATTAGAGTTATGGTTTGTAATTTGGAAACTGGTTGCTTCTACATGCCCTTATAAACTATTCTAATCATCACCAAAAAAAAACAAAAAACACCAAAATCAAGATTACCGTGTTAGATTTACTGTATAATGACTTCCTTGGAAATTGTTATTACAAGGATATATTTATTTTGGATGTAAACATTCAGTTTTTCCACATAATATTTTTAGCATTATGCTAGAGAATATAATTATAGTGAGTGTCTTTTAAATTATTTTGTTCGTTTCTGCATTCTGCCTTATTTACATTTTGAGTTATTAGATAAATAATATTACATTTTCTTAAGATAACGCAAATCTGTCATAGACAGGTTTAGTGGCCTAATTATCTACTGCTTGAAATATTCAGGTTTTTTAACCTTTCACTCCAACTTCCACACTGTTTTAGAGGAACTATATTAAACATATTTTGAACATATTTCCTTTTAGAAAAATGGTTTCTTATATGAAGGTTATATCCTAAACTAAATTTTCTAAAATTCTTTAAAAAATAGACTTAGAAATCTCTTTATTATAATAGATAGTTTTTGAAGAAAATAAAGGTTTTAAATTTTATTTGTTTTTCTTAACAAAGTTGTTCAAATATTCACATATTTTAAAATGGAAATTTTGTGTTTTAAAAGATTCAGCACAAATGATGCCTATTGAATGATTAACTGAAAAGTGCATTATAAAGCACAGCACAGACAAACTGATAGGTTGTATTTGTGAAAGATTTCAGAGCATCACTAACTTGTACAAATTCACTCTCCTTTTCAAATATTGCTAGATGTTCTGACACTTTTTGGCTCTTGCTCCTTTAATATACAAAGCTGCTTTTGATGGGAAGAGTCAGATGAAGAGATTCATGAAGACACTTTAACTTTGATATCCAGCTCTTGGGTGACAGTTTTCATTATGCCCACAATTGCCCTGATGTCTGTTACAGGTATAATCAAGTTTGTGTACGTATGTGCGCATATGCATATGCCAATTTTGACTCCTGGCAACAACCTGGTTAATTCTCTGCAGTTTCCTTGGTGAAATTTTTTGGAAATGATTTGCCATTGCTTGCTTCCTAGGATTGAGAGAGAGTGACTGATCCAAAGTCACCCAGGTGGCTTTGTACCTAAGACAGGACTCAAACTCATGGTCTCTTGATTTCTAGCATGTGGCTAGGAAAGTTGCTACACCAAACTCTCTCTATAATTGTGTTTAGAGCCACAAAATTGTTTACCTCATGATGATAAATTTGCTCTTATATTTGAAAAGTGAGCAGAAGGAACAGCCCCTTTCCTTTGGCTTCTTTTCAGTGTTTCTAACACTTCAGTGTGTCGTTGAGTTTCCTTTGCAATTTCACTGCTGTCCACCTCTCATTGCTGCTCTTTTTCCCCCCTCACGCTTGTCAATTGAATTCACGTTTCTGTGCTTTTTATATTCTGTTTTGTCTTTGTCTATTTCCTCCATGTCTCACTTTACAGAACCTTCACCAGCTCAAACAGATTCACACTTTGAGGCAGATGAATGAGCAACTGCTGGCCGAAAACAGGGCTTTGACCCGGGTGGTAGCCAGGCTGTCGCAATCCGCTGAGCCCCCAGAGTCAGAAGAGCTATAGCACCTCCCCTTCCAGTTGATTTCACCTCTCCTTCCATTCTTCCAGGCAGGTCTTTGCTCTTATTATCTGTTCGAGCTATCTACTACTCATTCTACTTTCTTCCTCAAGATGTTTAATAAGGAGGATGCCACACCAATAGAATATGCCATTGAATAATTTTCTTTTCAAGTGCTCTTCCCTCAAGGTATAGTCCTTATTTTGGAGATATCATTCCTGATTTTGTATACTTGCTCCCTTTCAAGGTATGCATTTTCTGCATGTGAATTTCATATTGGAGAACAATCTCCAGTATAATTAGCAAAAATATTTTGGCTTTATTTTGCCTTTTAAAGACAGTGCTAAATAAAGTGTGAATGGAAGAATTAGGACGAACAATCAGAATATATGTGTCTGGTTGTCCCAAGTGGTATAGTAGATTTAAGGCAGTATGGTAAAATAATGTACTTCTGAAAGTATACATTAAAACACTTTATAAACTGGCAATTTGTAAATGAACTTGTAAATGAGTTGGAATACATGGAGCAATTTAAAATTTGCCATGCACTGAATCATTATATGTCACACAAACCTCGACTTATGAGTATTTGTTTAACAATAGTTTGAAATTATGATGGCACTCAGAAAAATGATTCCCGATCATGTAATCACAATTTGGGCGCATGTCGTCTGGCTCGCATTTACAACACTGCAGTGTGCTGTGATCACATAATTGCGATTTGCTACCTTCTCAGATGGCTTCCAACAAGTAAAGACAATGGGAAACTGGGTTCGCTTAACAACTGGGTGTTTCACTTGACTGTGTTAAAAATGGTCATAAAATTGACTTTGCTCATGTAATGACTCACCTACTGTCTGCATCACTTAGTGACCAAAATTCCAGTCCCAACTGTGTTTGTAAGTCCAGGACTATCTGTATTATACTACATACTGTGAGCTATTAATAAGACAATGAAGCTATATTGAAATCACAGTTTGTAATTCAGGAGGTTGAATTCTAAACACAAGTCTAGTGTAGTTTTCTTGTTTTTGCTACAAATTATGGTTAATATTTTTTCATATTTTATATATTAATCTGAGATATAAGAACCTGTACTAAGTTACTCAATTTGTTCATTAATATCTCACAAACATATAGAATGTGACATTTCAATAATGCTGTAATACAGTAGAGCTGTATCTTTCACATTAACCTCTTCTCATTAACCTCTATGACAGAGAAGGCAGCTAATAATGCAGTTAAGACTCTAGACCAGTTCAAGGAGCAACTGGCAGCAGTGGTCAGGAGAGTATTCCCACAAATATATCTTGTAGACCAGTTGTGTCACAAGACTACTACAGTACAGTCTATGTGGATTACCCTTGAAGAGCATTCAAAAGCTTCAACTGATGAGGAATTCATTAGCACATGCAATATTGGGTGTCATAGTACAGCCAACTAACAAGGCTACATGAGTTATACTGATTCCTGGTAGACAGTTCAAGGTTCTGGTTGTTTACCTTTAAAGACCTGAATAGCATGAGGCTAGGTTACTTGCAGAACCCCAATGGTTTCTACTGATCTTACTGGATAAGAGAGTGAGCATGCGCTGAATCTCATTTCTAAAGCAGTGACTCTTGATGGCCCCTATGAAATGTGTTTTCTCTGTCATAATACCAGTCTTATGGAACAGCCTCCCCTGAGATATGGACAGCACTGACCCTGATAGCCATTCAGAAGGCCATGAAAGCCTCCTTTATTCCTATCCCAAGCAGGGGTGGGATTCAACCAGCGTTACTACTGGTTCGGTGATTACATTTTGCATGTGCGCCCAACACACGCTGCACACGTGTATAAAATAACCTTAGGCTGTGCCGCCGAACAACTGAAAATTGCAACAACCAGTTGCACAGCATTCAAAAAGCCTCTTTTTCTGTGCTTTTTCAACCTCAGCTGTGCCGCGCAAAGCAGCTGAAATTGAAAAAGCAGGAAATAAAGGACAGGTAAGAGCCTGGGCGGGCAGGTGGGCCAGAACCGGTTCTGTGTCTGCTGCTCTTCAGAGCTACCAGTTCTATAGAGCCGGGCAGAACTGGTAGCATCCCACCCCTGATCCCAAGGGATTGAGTTTAAGATGTTAATGGAACTCTAGCACAGGTATGACTATATTTGATATATCAGTAGTGAGATTTTTAAGGGCCTCAATCTAGTTTTTCTGTAATGGATTTGTACATTTTGGATGTTTTTATTTCTCTTCACTGCCCAGAATTCCTTTGTTAGATGAGCAGCTATATAAATGTGTTCAATGACTAAATTATGTCTTTCTTTTGATTCCAAGGAAATTCTGAAGATCATTGGCTTGATCTTGAAAATCCAGTATTTCTTTCATACTGTCTCAGATCTACACTTTTCAGTTTTAAAATAAAAATGATTGTATTTGGTGTTTATAAAATTTGTGGTGGTGGTGGTTGCTGTTATAAATTCATCTTGTATCTGTCCTTAATTAATTAATCATAGATGCCATTAAGTCAGGCTCAACTCCTAATGCTTGCACGGACAAACACTTTCCATTTTGACTTATCTCTAGCAGTAGTTGGAAACTGCATTCATCCCAAGATGGAAGTTGGATGGATAGAATCTATATGATGATATGTGGGATAACGTTGACCCTTTGCATATCTAAGAACAGAGTTCTCTGTGATCTAAGACTGGACAGAGTTCTCCGTGATCTAGGCTCTACTACATGTGGATTGGATCCTTACTACCTTGCTAATAAATTTCAGTGGGGGGACTGTGAATTAGATTCAAAATATAATCAATGCTTCTTTGAGGGAAGAGTAGCTCTCATAGACATCAGTTATCCCACTCTTCAAGAAGCCAGTTCTGAATCCAACAGGACCAAAGTTTGTTTGTATCCATGGTAGTTTGAACTGAGGCTTCTGTATGGTGTGGAAATCACATTGGTCCCTCACATGAGACTCTCATAGGACTTGAATGGAAGGAGCGTAATCATCCTTATCCTTCTAAATTTCTCAGTGTTTCTTAATCACAGCATCATATGTAGATTGCTTGGGAGTTCTGAGAATTGGAGGTGCCAGATTATAGTGGTTCCAGTGTCCATGTCCAATAAGTGGTGGCCAGGGCAAAAGTTAAACCCTCAAATATTCCCTTCTATGAGTATTATGAGGCCTCAGGCCTTTCCCTTATTCTGTTTAGTATTTTCATGAAGGTGTTGGAAGACGCCATGCACCAATTAAAATTGAAATTAGTATGTTGATAACCTCCGGTTGTATAGTTTATTTATCACTGCTTTTTTAAAGCCTTATATGGCCAGAAAGCACATATCAAGGATCCCTATCTGTTAGGAAGTAAAATAAGGCCTAGTGGCAAGAATTCTCTGTGTGGGTTTCCCCCACCCCACCCCACCCCTGATGAAACAGCCCATCTCTTGGGGCTAGGATGACCCTGCGCTCATGGCTTCTATAGTTACCATAGTAAAGAAATGGTTCTTCCAGAATACCTTTAGCATTGTGAGGCCATTGATAATAGTGTGTGTGTGTGTGTGTGTGTGTGTGTGTGTATGCATAAACATATGTACAATATGTGTATGTACAGCATGTGTGTGACATAGATAGATAGATAGATAGATAGATAGATAGATAGATAGATAGATAGATAGATACAAATAGCCGTTCACTGCCTATACAGTAGATAAATAAAATAATACACAGCTCTTCCAAGTATTTTCTCAAATTTCTTAAAACCCAGTCATTCACTTTATCTGTAGCCTTCCCTTTCTTATATTTTTGTCAACCTTGAAAAGCCTTTTTCCCCCGCTCCAGCCCATCCATTTGCATCAGATGTCAAACTATGCTGATTAAGAAAATGGTCAGTGTTCATCTGGCCCCAGATTGACTATTCTTTTTGCAGTCCATGGTAAACTTCTCCAAAATATATAAATGAAAGGATCAACAGTATTTTTCTCAGTCTCCCATTTTCACAGCTATACCTATCTATACAGCATGTATAGTACTGTGTTAAGATCTCATTGTTTAGCTCAGAGTTGAACCACAGTTCTTGATAAAAACCCTTCCTTGATTGAAAACATTTTTTTTACATACAAATAAGAAAATTTGTATGTTATTTTCCTAACCCAGTATTGTGGAATCAGCCTTGATTGAAAAAGCCTCACTGGATTCCTGTGCTGGATTCCTTTAGTGAGTAGATTTTATTAGCTTGTCAGTCAGGTTTTTTTGATTTTTGTTTTAGTTTCTCACCACCTGTAGAGAAAAGAAGTCAGGAATGATTGTAGGGAAAAGCAAGAATTAAATGCATTTTAAGAAATATGTTTGTTTGATGGATTTGTATACCTTTCTTTCATCATGCCTTATCAATTCAATTCAAATTATTGCCTCTCCTTTTTATGAGTAAACCTTTAAGGATTGCGTAATTTCAACATGCTTGCTTGACTGAGAAAAGAACTTGTTATTAGTGGCCAATTGTGTATTTCTGTTGGCAAGAGATCCCAAATAAATTTGTGTTTGTGACTCCATCTTAAATAGATTACAGATATTTCACCTCACTGATAAATGATCCCCTTTCTTTGGGATCAGCTGTCAAAGGTGTTTCAGTACTCATCTTATCAAGCACTTTGTCACTTCTTTCAATAGAAGCCTGTCTATAGGAATTCTTGGGAGCTGAGTGGAGGCATATAGAAAGTATGCCACCTTCGTTAAATATGTGCACAAGCTGTCCTATTTTGTAAACTATAAAGAATCCAAATCTCTGGCCAAAGTAGCTTATTCTTGAATGTTCTTGCCTGAGAATCCCTTGACATTTCTAAGCACACTTTACTAATACTACTTTTTTCATAGTCCAAACTGTTAATCAACTAAAATGATGTTTTACATTTCAAAAATGAAGAAAATTTAACTCAAAGTACCTTTTATTAGTTTATTTTGTGGAACACATAAGAAATTGAAAGCCACTTTCAGTCTAAAAAAAACTGACAAATATTTACTAAAACACTTTCCACAAAAAAAATTGCATGCCATTTACTTTCCTATAGATATATGAAATATGGATTGAAATAATAAAACCTAGTTTTTGAGCAACTTATCATTACTGTTAATTGTATGTTTGCACTTTATAATATGTAATCAAAGATCTACCTAAACCAGGCTCTTTGATCCATAAAAAATGAGATATAATATTTGCTCTAAAGTGTTTAAAGTTAGTCAATTTCCTTTCAAAATTAAAAAAAAAGACTATTCTTTTTCCAAATGTAATAAGTTTGTTATTAAAATGAAAACTGGATATTGAGAAAAGGATAAGAAAAGGATTGTTTTGAGAGGTTGGTTTGAAGAGAGATGCCTATGGTATTTTCTGTCTTATGCATCAAAATAACTTGACTAATTTGGGATATTTTATGCCTTGTTACGGCTGCGAGCAAGGCATCATTTGTTGTTCTGTATCAGCCAGTGAAATCATTTCAGTTAACACATAATTTTCTGTTCTGCATATATCTCGGATAATTTCCCTTTTCTGTTTTAGGAAGGTAAAATATTCTTTCGTTGAGTAGGGAGAGTTGGCCATATGCTAAGCAAAAGCCATTTATATGAATAAAGATTACTACTGTATACATTACTCTTTTTTTTTCCTCTCCCCACTTTGCTTCCCCCTCCCAGTGGTTGGAATATTCTGGGACACTCAGCACAGAAATGTTTTGATGCTCTATCTTATCTTTGAAACAGGTTTTGACAGATCTGAAGTCAGACAATCAGCGGCTGAAAGATGAGAATGGAGCACTCATCCGAGTCATCAGTAAACTTTCAAAGTAGCATATTGAACAAAGGATGGGCAGAAAGAGGAGATTTCTGTGCACAAGATGCCAACCCTGCCACCGACTTCCGATCTTCCAGTTGAAAGAACTGCTGGCAATTTTGCCATGGACCAGTTGGCAACACACACAGCTCCTTGCACTTGCTGGGCATTTTTATTTTGCACAGTGTTTACCCCTTCCCTTTCTTCTAAAAGCATGCCTCACCACAAGTTTATTATTTTTACAATATTGAAGTAATTTATTTAAAGGGACAAAGAATGATTGGCACTGTCTGAACTACTCAAACTATCTGCTGTAAACCCGATATGCATCCAACCTTAATCTGATGTAAAGAAGTATTGACTGTAATAAGTGATATAGAAGTGACTATAGTGTCAATCGAACATGTCTTAAGATACTGTCAAGGAATAGGAATAGGGAGTGAAATAGAATTACTCTTCCTTCTGGAATTTGGGAGTCTGCAGTCTGTAAAAAAAACTTGTTGGCTTATTTCTTTGGAAGTCTCATAATGGTGTATTGCCTTGGAAATGCATATTCTACATATCTCTTAATACTTGACTGTTTTATTTAATGTTGGATTTGAAACCAGTTTAATATTGGGGCCCAATAATTGTTTTCCCTTCTTTCCATCTTTCCTCAAGATGCTTCCTACTGGGTTTTTTTTTTTTTTTCATGGTTACTTTCTCTAGGACTGTTTAATAGATGATTACACCTTATAATTGTCACATTCTTATTATGGTCCCTTTTTTTTCAAGAATTCTGGTGGAAGGACATCCAACAGCAAAAATCTCCATGCAGAATGTATCTCAGCTTATCTTTTTATAAGCAAAATGAATCATTAACCAGTAAAGTAATAACATTGCATAAAAATCAGAGCAATCAGAGTTGGATTTAAGATAATGTTCATTAGGTGCAAAACTGAACACAAAAGTGTTCTCAGAGTTTACAGTGGAAGAATACTGGTGGTTAGAGGTGCTTATGTCCTGTGCAAAATGCTGTCTCAAGTCTTGGTGGAAGGCCTTGATAAAAAAAAATACTACTAATATTTGAGAAGTTTAATGCAATGTTTCATTTGCACAGTTGTAAACATAAATGCACTTGTCTTTAATATCAATAGTAAGATCAGTAGCACTCACACCTTGGTTTCTAATCATATTGGAAATGAATGCATTAACTTTTATAGATTCTCAGAATACTAGCAGCTTCAGAGACTGTGCTTTAGTTATAACAATGAGATACTTTCAGCATTTAATATATTTTTCCAGATCCTGACCACTGCATTTCTTTTCTTTCTTCCTTTGTATTCCAAAGCATGATAACACATTTTGAAGCTATACTTTTTGGTCTGGATTTAGTCAGTTTTCATAATTGATTAGAACAGAGTCTTTGGGATTTAAGAAAAGCAGCTTATACATAGATACACGTGAGCAGTAGTACTTTTTGCCATCATTGCTCAATGGTCAACACAATATGGCTTTTAAAAAATCTATTGTGGACTACTATAACAAAGAGGTGACTGGTTTTATTTTCTCTTTCACCTTTTTGTTCTGTATTCTCATGTATTCTTCTTGCTTTTATTGGCTACAAAAAATGCAGAATTCTGTTAAGAGCCAGGAGTTGCCACCTATGAGCTGACTAATTCAGATATTGGTTGTACAAACGTATCAAAGTCTGATGTAGTGATCAGTGCATTCGTTAGAGCTTTCTAATTTAGCTCTGAGGCGCTCAGCAGCCCTTTGGTTTCCTCTGTCCCCCTTTTTGGGAACTTTAGATATTGTCCAGGTTTCAAGGTGTGTCTAACAATTATATGTGAAAGCTAAATACATTTTGTCATTGTAATGAATTATATTCATGATATTGCTTTTCTACTGCCTAACTTATTTCAGCCCCATAAAGGATTGCAGAAGGATATGAACAAAATATTTTTAGTTGGTCTGGTCAAACTCTACCATAAACAGTCATGGAAATGAAAAAAGAATAATTCTGTAAGAGTTCCTGCATACTACTACTGTTATTTTGTACCTGGAATATAGTAACTTAAACCAACCTTAGTTTTAATATCCAGAAATCTAAGGATAAATATAAATAAGGCCTATTATGAAGAATTGTGCCCTATCTAATCAAGAGTTGGAATTAGATCAAATTGAATTCTGCCTAGAATTGGCTGAGCTGATTAATCATGAAACAATCCAGTATGCTCACCATAAAATATTTGGGGGGGGGCAACAGGGGTGAAAACAGATTATTTCTTGGATGTCATTAAAATGAATGGCAACAATTAACATCTTAATATTTTAGGCCTAAATATGTTTTTCTTATATTTTCAACTATTTCAAACCACCTTCAAACTGTTAAATGATCCCATTTTTATCCTGAGGCAAAGAAAATCTTAATCTAGTTTTAAAAGCTGAAATATGAATGAGATTTGTTCCTTCTCTCAAAAAATAATGAAAAGGAAAATCTTCAATGGAAGTTACTTATTTCCTTTGAATTAAACAATATAACTACCAACTCAAGAGCTAGTATATGTTTTAATATCTTATTCTAAAATTTTCATTTGAAACCAGGAAGTATTTCCAAGAAATTTCCTGATTTAATGAAAGGCTGAATCTGTGGATAGGCAAAAGGCATATTCATGTTTAAATCAAATTGTTTTAAGTTGTTTATATGATCAAGTAAACTTGCCTCAAGAATTCAGGACTCCTCCTTATTTTTAAAGGATATCAAGAATGAAAATATTACTCCTCTCACTGGTTATTGCTCTGACCCAATTAAGTTTAGATTTACATGAATGTTCTATTTTAATTGTGCAGTAAGCTAAAATGTTCTCTGCATAAGCTGCAAATGATAGAGGAGAATGGTTGAAAGTTTAGCCTGTGACACGAAAGCTTTCAAGCTTGTGGATGATAGAAGTTTTTATTTAAAATGGGAAATGAATGGTTCTGTTTTAGTTCTTGTTCCTAAAAGTTTTCACCTATGAATTTTTCCATATCTAAGATTTTAAAAATCCTTGTGCAAGTGCTTTAAGAAGCATAAGATGGAGCACAATTTTATTCCTTGCAAATGGAGAAATTCAGTGGAATTTGGCTAGTAAGAATTAAATTTCATATGAAACTAGAGGTACCATGTTAAAAAAAAACTAAGTATAGGAAAACAAATAGGGAAGAAAGTCTTAATACCCACTTAGTGATAGATTGGTTGCTTTATGAGAAGGCTCTCTTTCTTGTAATATGGACAAACTGATCATAGAACATAAAAGGATGAGGGAAAGGCATTTTAGAAGACAGGGATATGTAGGTGCAAGAGCAAGTATATATGAGTACATTTGAATTTAGAAAAGTTTGTTTGGCATTTATTTGTTTCTGTCCATATTGTTTTACTGTTAATGGAAACAATTCATGGATGAAATATGGATGATCAGGGAGCATTAGATGAATCTAACTTGACCATTTTCTAATGCATATGCACTTGATTTTTACTATTGGAAGCTAGTGCAGAGTCATTGATATATACTTCTTTTCTCTGAAGGGATGTTTATATTAATAATTACCATTTAAAACACTTATTCCCATGGAATAATTCAAAGTATAAGGCTAATCATGTTGCTGTTTGCTGACAAAGCGTTAACTATAAATTAAACATAACCCTTGGACTATCACTGATATATAAAGATTCAGGTTTGTTATTTCTTAGGACAAAAATGAGATACCTGTGGCCCTTCAAATGTTCCTGAAATCTCAGCATCCCTCACCATTCAACATGATGGTTGAGATTTCTGTAGTTCAGTAATTTCAGGAGCCTTCACTTCCCCCATTCCTGCTTTAAACTAAATTTAACGTTTGTCCCTAACTGAATGGTATAAATGTAAAGAAAAACATAAATTCTATATACTTTCTGGGACACCTAATGAATTCTCAACCCATAAAAATATTTTGTTACTGTGAAGAGCAAAATGTAATCCTTTGCCCCCATTTAAACCTGATCCATTGGGTCATCAAGTTCTACTTTCAAGTTACTAGGATGTGAAAAGTAACCAAAGCCTCCCCGAAATTGTGAAGAGTTTGAGGAAGAGTGCACCAGTGTACAGTACATCAGGAGGACTTCCACAATGTATATGCATATGTCTCTCAACACACCCCTTTCAATTATTCTAGTGCTTGCCAAAATCTAACAATGAACTTGTTTTGACAGGATTTTTTGCAAGCAAATTGAATGTCCCATCACAAAGAATGTACTTTGTCCTTGCCCACTTGAATATGTGCATTTTTATGAAATCCTCAGCTTTGGTACAACAGGCTTCGTTTTCCCCATCTTTGACCTTCCAGCTCCACTCATCCTGCTGCCATATTAGCTGACTTGGGAGAGAAGCTTCTGACTTAGGGATATTAAACATGGGAAGCAGAAGGTCTGTATCTCAAAGGCAACTATAATATCTTTGTTTCAAGCTTTCAGTTTCCCAGGGCTTTTTATTTGAATGGTGGGTTTCGATCACATTTATTCTGTGTTTAAAATCTTTTTGTGTGATTCTACTAGATGCAGCATGTTCCAAGAAGAGTTTGCTTTTGTTTTTGTTTTTTTACCAAGATTATTTCTTAGCAACTTACTGATGGATTCATCCATTCCCCAAGATTCCTTTATTTCTTGGGGCAAGTTGAACTCTGAGTGAATATAACTTTGTCGGTTCTTGAGCCAATGGAAGGGTCCAAATTATGTTAAAATCCGCTGTGTATCTTTCCACTCCTGACTGTTTAGTATATAATATTGAAGAGTCAAAATCCCTTACTGTAAAAGCTATTCCTAAAAAAAGAACAGCATCCTACTGTTGGCTCATTAACTTCCCACATGCAAATATTCTAAGTGTTATCTGTTTTTAAAAAACATTTTACAATTCTTTGTAAATAACTAATTGGAGAAAAGAGTGGCTTGTGAGTGAAGGAAGAGAATGTATTTTTATGCAACTTTTTTTGAGTGGCCTTCCAAATTTTG